TGCCAAATTTTGGGATGCTAAATAATTAACCTATAGTGGTGAATATAAAAATGGTAAAAAAGTAGGGCAATGGGATATTGAGTATAGGTAAGATAAAGATAAACCATTATTTAAAATGTAAAAATTAACATATTTAGGAGGTTAAGTGGTGGTGGATCATATAATGAGAAAGGTGATGGAGTTAAAATTGGGTAATGGATTGAGTTAAAAGGAAAATCAAAGAATGTCACTAATAATGGGGAATATTAAAAGGTAAAAAAGTTGGTACATGGCTTGTACTGAAAAGAGATGAGAATAAAATGGAAGGGGGATTCTAAATAGTCAAAGAAATCAAATATGATTATTGAAATAATAAAATTATAATAATATTTATTTTAAGGCTTTGATTAGGTAAGGATAATTCTCAATATATATTAATTTTTTAATTTTAGAGAAATTATTCATAAGATATTTATTTCTATCCTTTTGAGCATAATAAAATTAGTTTTATTGATTAAAAATATTTTAATTTTAGCATTTTGAATAGTTAATATGAATGTTTTAATTTAACTTAAATATTTGATAATTTCAAATATTGAAGAATTTTTGTCAAAATATCTTTTCGAAAATACGATTATTTGTAGGTTATTTCCCTTATATAAGAATTTAATCAAGAGCTCTTTATATCATAGAGCTTCTATTTAAATCACAGAAGCAATTCTATTCAAATTAAAGTAGAGTTCTTGAACCAAAGATAAAATTTTATCCTTATTTAAAAAATTGATACTACTAATATTTATATATTCAAATTTACAACCATATTAGTATAAGATGATAAGATCAGAAGTAATCAAATTTTGAAAATTTGATGTTTAAAGTTTTTATCTTTTTTCTTAAATTTAATTAATTTTTAATAAATATCATTTTTAGAATCCATCTTTATAATTTACAAGTAATTAACTATTTAAAAAAGAGAAATTAATTATATTTTATATTTTTATGGTTATTTGACATTGCCTTTAAGATTTGTAATCTATTTAGAATATCCATTTTATGCTTCCTTTTATAGATGATAAAAATGAAAACTTTTAAAGATAATAAATATCACAAATCACAATTATCCTTTTCTTTCAATACGGAATTATTTTTTATTAAATTATTTCGTTCCAATTCAAAAGAAAATTTATTAAACTTTTCATTAAAATATCTTAATTAAAATAATTAGTAAAAGCAGTCTCTATTATATTTCAAGAAGCAATATATTCAGAACATGAAACACTTAATATAAGGAAAATTTTACCTTATTATTCATATTTTAGAATCTGTAATTGACTTAATAATGCTATTCAATCAAAATTAAAAAAAGGAAAATTAAATGAACCAAAGACTAAGTTTTCCTCAACTAAACCCTTCAAGTTACGACAGAAATCGCTCTACAATTTATCTTGATTTTCTTAGATGAATGAGGTTAAAAGAAGATTATCATTAAAATAGAAAATTATGAAACCGCACGAATTTTTTCAAAATATTTAGTATAAACAATTTTTAGCAATCTCAAGATTAGAAGGCAACTCAATAAATTGTATGATAGTTAAAATTTCGAATACTTTTCGTTTAATAATCACCCATCAGGTTGAGATTTAATCAATGTGTATTTCTTAATTGAATGTTTTTATAATTAGTTATTTATTATATTTATAAAAATTTAATTATGAAATAAACACAAAATAACTCTTATTGATAGAGAATAATTGAAAAGTAGAGTAAAAGTATTAGTTTAATTATGGACTCAAAATTTTATCTATAAACTTTTTTTTTAATTTTATTTGTGTCATTTGAAGTGATAATAATAAAAAATAATCTCATGATCGAAAATCTTCTTATACTAATTTCTATTTGACACACTTAGTTGATATTTTTACTTTAATATAACAATTTTTTTAGTGGATGGATTTGAAGATTCAATATATAAGTTTCATTTAATTGCCTGATTGTTTTTCTAGTAATTTAATTTTTCCTGACATTTTTGTGCATAATTGGAGAATAAGAAGTCCTAATCTTCTGAGGTATATCAAACAACAACAAAAATCGAACTAAGAAATTGCTTAAAAGCCACAGAGATCATTAAACGTTAAAGGTCTAGAAGAGCCTAAAAAAGTGGCAAAAGTATTCTCTGGAAGTAGAGAAGAAAAAAGATGTTGTATTAGACAGTTATTTCTCGCTTGCCATTAAAATTAATATAAAATTAATCATCTTTTGATCTGCATAGAAATAAACAAAACTTTGATTTCCATCCTTGATTATTTTCTTACAACAGCTTTACATCTAATTTATAAAATTTCTAAAATCCCCACGTAATTTTTATTTGAAAATTAAAATATAATGTAAATTATTTATAATAAAATTTAATTTTGAAATTTTCCATTACAAGCTATCCTTCAATAACTTTTTGATAAAAAATAGTGTATGTGCAAAAATATAACAAAATTTTTTGTTATCATAACAATATTTTTGTTTATAATAATTCATATATTAAATATCCTTAATTTTTTAAATCCCAAAATAATAAATATTTAGCCAAATAAATTTTTTGAAACAAACCTAACCTTTTTCCCTTATTCTTAAATTGATTGTTTATAGATGAAAATGATGATACCTAAAATTAAATACATTATTAAATACTAATTATAATAAAATATTTATACCCTCAATTTTATAAATTTCATCAATTATAACTACACTTTTGAATTCTAACATGTCTTATTTTCTTCCTAACCAAATACTAATTTAATCTTATGATACTAGATAATTTTCTGTCTAATTTTAACTTAATACAGTAATATCATTATTACTTTAATTGATCTATCATCACTCACAGAAAATTATAAATCTTCATTAGAATTTAATATCCTACCCATTAAATTATCTGTATGTTATTCATAAGGTTATGCCAGAATCTTATTGTCTTATCTCCAGCACCTCGAATAAATGAATTCTGTTTCTTACTGTACACTAAACAGTAAATCCTTTATAGTATCTATCATAATTGATTTAGATAATTCAAAAAATATTGTTCTAAATTAATCACTTTATTTAAATAATTGTTGAATTTACTTTCTCAATAACTGATTAATTTATACAATAATATTACCCTTTCCTTTATCTTTATTGGGTTAATTTAAATTATTATATAATTTAGTCATTTAGGGCTTATCAATATTATCAATTAACATAATATTAGAGACATAACTAGTATCCTAGATGTTAATGTAGTCATCTAACTCATCTTTAAAATTGTGTATAATATTATCTTTAGGTTGATAAAATATCACCTCAGCCTTAAACTAAACTAATATGAAAATCAAATAAATTTATAAATATGTCTTTTAATTGTGATATGTAGTAAAACTTTATAATAAATCAAAATTAAGAATATTATACTTATTTATTGATTTTTTAATTATTCATATTTTCTATTTTTATATATTATTTTATTTTTACTTTAAATTGTTAATCAGAGCACAATTAGATTATAAAGAAATGTTTTTAGAAGTATATCAACTATTAGCATTTCAATAATTCAATTAATTTTGATAGTCTGAAAACAATTTTTTTTCATAATCCAAAAATTAAATTGGCATCTTGGTTGTTTATAAATATTATTTGGCTTTTATAGGAGAACTGAAACAATGAAACTTGTATCTTATATTTAGAATTATTGCATGTAAACAAATTATGCATTCCAAAAAAATTATAGGGTTACTTTAACAAATAATTTGTTTAGTTTAGATTATCTCAAAATTTTTTTATAAATTAAAATTTTTATTTAAAGGAGCAGCGTACATTAAATCTTTTATATAGTAAATATGATGTGAAGAGAGTTCTTGAAGGGCATTCATATAAATGAATCTATTTATTCAATTTTTTGACACGATTTAGTTTAGAGATTGTGATTAAACAAGGATTGCAAATATTTTATATTCCTAAAACAAGAAGTTCATTTTTTTAATTCAATTATATGAAATCAAGGAAATAAATTATTGAAAAAGGATTACGATACTATCTATTTTAATTTCCATATAAAAATTTGAGTTTAAAACCAAGACGAAAATATATAAATTTCTAAAGTTCTCA